GCTAATTAGGAACTTTAGAATGCCTACATATCTCAGACGGGGAAATAAACCCAGTTGTGTTCAATGGGGCTTATTCCCAGGCAAGTGGGAACAAGATCCAAGTCTACACCGCCATACGCTTACATGAGAGTAAGTTCCATCGAATAAAACTCTTTGTACTGACATTTGCAGCCTGATATTTGCATATGAATTAAAAAGGAAGGAACACATTTTTGTTTCCGAAGGGTGCACATGTCAAAGTCATCACCACTTTATAAGAGGCCTTCAGTCCTGTAAGATGCCTCTTAAAATAGCTCCTAACACATGTGGTATTGGAGGTTCTTGAATTTATTTTTTAAACGAGTTCCTGGTTTTGGTATAGATCTGCTTTCCAGTTCACTGTAGGTGATGGTCAAATCTAGGGATTCCCCTCCCTTTATAAAGCAAAGTGTGCTGCTTATATACTGTTCCATCGTCCTTGAAGCTCTCCCTAGTAGGCAATTTACAACTTAATTATGCAGGCTACACTTTGCCCTCTCCTCCTTGAGTTATGTATTCAGTTTATTGATTTCAGAAGGATGGAAGACAGAGTCAACTTCAAGCTAGTTATCTGAACCCAGGAACAAACACAGGCTATGTGCAAAGAACCTTCACTGTGGCACTGTAGCGTAACCACTGCACCATAATCAATCAGGTTTGCTTGCTCAGCCTGTTAACTGCCGTATAACTCAGGAAGGGGAAATGGGATTTATTTATTTATTTGATTTATACCCCACCCATCTGGTCTTCCGACCACTCTGGGTGTGTGTGTGTGTGAAAATCTGGAGAACCCCAATTACTCAGAGCCTGCTAGCTCCCAGTATTTTCTGAACCATTAATGTTAAAGCTATCGTCACAGAGGGCTTTCTCAATAACACTTCCTTTCCTTATAACGTGGCTCTGTACTCGATGCAGTCTTCAGTGGTCCCCAACCTTGGGCCTCCAGATGTTATTAAACTACAACTCCCAGAAGCCTTCACTACCACCTCTGTTGGCCAGGATTTCTGGGAACTGAAGTCCACAAACATCTGGAGGCCCAAGGTTGAGGACCAAATGTAGCTGATCTTTGTTGCTTGCTCATATTTGGGGGGTTGATTTCCCTTGGGCACTCTCATTGAAAAAAGAAATGGGGAATTATTTTTAAATGGCAGCCTTCTCTCTCTCTCTCTCTCTCTCTCTCTCTCTCTGGCAAAGGGAATTTCAGCAAGTGTGACTCATCCTCCCGAGCATCCTTTTTGGGGGCGGGTGGGAGAGGCATCTGGCAACCCCAGTTGGGCCCCTTTGAAGGCAGCACGGATCTCTTGACTGGGAGCATCTTTCCAAAAACACCCCACTTCTGGGTTTCCCTAAAGAGGGTGCCTGGAATGCTGACTTCCTTTTGCATTTTGAACCCAAAGATCAACTGCAGACATTTCTACCCTGCATGGATGTTTCAGGGAATTAATCTCACAGCCCTTCAAATTCTAAACGAATGCACCTCCGTCTGTAATCTGGACTGTTGGAAACAGAGTCCAGAGGTCTAAATCTAATCCCAACTGACTCTATTGCTGAATGGCAAATCAACTCTTACATAAATCCCACTGTTTCACTGGGTCTACTCTAAGAGGGACTGACTGGCTTTAGTGGAGAGAATTTAGGAAAATCTTGTCTGGGAGTATAACCGGAAGACGTATGTTATAAAGACATTACTGCAAAACTATGCATAGTACATTCTCTTCTTTATATGAACAGTTCAAAAGCAAACTATGATTGTGTTAAAATGTATAGATAAATCTAATAACATAATACAAACATCTCTGGCTGCTTTCCCGACCTCACCCAGTCATATATGTCTGTCTGAATTGCATTATACTATAGCTGATCCATTTAGAAAGAGAGGATTTTCAAATTTCCCTTTAAACAAAAATGCATGTTTCTCAGTTAAGTGCCTGTTAAAACTTGAGAACAAAAACAACAACAACTAGGAAGCATAGATGCTTAATGCAAAAAGGCAGCATTAAATATTTTCAACCTTCTTAGGAGGACTTTGCCTCCCCTTTGTGCCTCAAGTACATTCGAGAAAAAGCAACGAGTCCCTTCCAACTTCAAAAATCAAGATTTTCATTACCTGTCACATTAGTTGGCAATGCTTTGAACGAAGCGCAATTAGGAAACAAATGGGAATCAAGGGAAGGCATAAGAAAAGCAGCAAAGCGACCCCACGTATGCACAGCATTTTTGATAAGCAAAACCGTGGGGATAATGCACCACAGGGAACAAACAGGATAGTAGAGTATCCATTTCATTTGTTTTATCTTATTCCTACCCAGAATCACAACGGGCGCTTCAGAGATGAATACAAAGTAAAGGGTAAAATTAGCAATGATTGACGGGGGCTGAAATATATTTTTCTTTATAACCACAGGCCGAAGATGGTTCCATGTGACCCTTCTATCTCCAAAGGTTTCCAAAATAAAGCTATTAACCAGAGCTAAAAAATCTTGTTTTAAAGCCCATGTTACTGAATTACCTCACCAAAAAGAGAGGCAAAAATAGGAAAATATTACTTATTACTTGTTAGAAACACAGTATTTACATTTTTAAACAAGAAAACGGCCAAGAATTCCCCAAATATCTCTTCAGACAGAACGTAACAAGTAAATATTACTCACTGTTCAAACATTTGCAGTGTTAATGTCACTGTGGTTATAATACTAAAACACGATACTATTGGCACCCGCTGCTCAACAAAATGTAATGCCTAACAGTGTTATTTGTATAATGTTTGTTTCCAAGCTTTGCTTTTAGAAGCAAATGAATGACTGCCCTGGTAACATGGCAGCTTTTATTCAGCTCTCTTGCAGGTGAGAATGTCCTGCCCCACACATGCCTCAGTTACGGTTAGGTTTTCTAAGAGCTACAGTAAAGCACAAAGTTAGCTAATTGGAATGATTTCAAAACAGAGATCTGTCATAATTTGCTTTTCCCACCTTGCAGGGCTGGCATAGCAAAGGGACAGCCCTACCCCTACCCCCCCCCACCGGTTATCCCTGTTACTGTCCACCAACACACCGAGCCTCTGCTGAATAATCATAGGTAAAGGTAAAGGTTTCTCCCTTGGCATTTAGTCCAGTCGTGTCTGACTCTAGGGCGCGGTGCTCCCCCCCGTCTTCAAGCCGTAGAGCCAGCGTTTGTCTGAAGACCGTTTCCGTGGTCATGTGGCCAGCGCGACTAGACATGGAACGCCGTTACCTTCCCACCGAGGTGGTACCTATTTATCTACTCTCATTTTTACATGCTTTTGAACAGCTAGGTCGGCAGGAGCTGGGACAAGCGACGGGAGCTCACTCCGTCGTGTGGATTCGATCTGACGACGGCTGGTCTTCTGACCTTGCAGCACAGAGGCTTCTGCGGTTTAACCCGCAGCACCACCACGTCCCACAAATAATCAAAAGGCCAAGGCAAAACATGACCTGCCAAGACCAGGTCCCATAATGGCAAAAATAAATGATGTTAGCCTTCCTGATCTATTGTCTATCAGCTTTTTTTTAGTTTTGGTTGTTTTCAAACTGGAGGGAAAGGATTTCATAGCAGGTTACATGAGGAGAGCCTCAAAAAAGGAGAAACAAGGGTGATATCCTGAAAAATGGATTGAACTTCACAAAACACTGAACTATATTAAAACCAAGAGACTGAACATTCCCGTATTTCACCCTTCCCCCAAAGTAGAAAAACTATCATAAATTAGAATAGAAGCTCAATTTCTTCCATGGAAAATAAATTATATACCTATTCATTTACCCTAAAGTAACTTGGAAAAATTACTTTTCGGACTACTATGCCCATTGGCTGTGGGTATTCTGGGACATGTAGTAGAAAGTAATTTTTCCAAACTAAGAAACAAAAATGGTTGCAAAACGAGCATGCATGTATATACACATACCTACACATCTCTACCTCACCCTGCAATCCTATGCATGATTACTAAAGAGTAAGTGCCACTGAATCTAATAGGATTCACTTTTTGAGTAAAAATGCACAGAATTCCATTAAGCCAGGAAACCAATCAAAAATTTAGTGCAAATAAAGTAAAATAGAATAAAATAAAATAAGGAGTTAACCAACAAAACAAGTGAATGTTGTCATGTACAAATATACGAAACCCCATAAAAACGGGATTTTATAAACTCATGGAAATAATACCGCAATATTATTAGTATTTCTGCTTCACATTAAACCAGAGAGATTTCAACACAATGATGCAAAATAATAATAATTTAAAAAAATTAAGAACAATACCTTTAAAAACAGATTTATGGCCAAGATGTTCATTCTCCTTTTGTTCATCTTTGCTACGGATTAAGTTGTACATATTCACAAAAGTGAATATATACAAGCATATATAAACACTTAGGTAATTGTCTAAACCAGTGCAGCTGTTGAAAAATTTTAACTCAAGAACTTTAAGGCCGCAACCCTAAGCATAATCATCCAGAAGTTTAGACCCTTGCATTCTTTGGGACTTACTTCCAAGTAAACATGCTTAGGACTGCACTGCACGCATACCTCACAGCATCTACTGAAGTTTTGTACAGTTTTACTGTGCAGATAAGTCAAATGCGAACCGTTTCTTCCTTCAAAAATGCATCTCTGTAAAAAACATTATTGCAGCTAGAAAACAGGGCTCCTTCAGAGTCAGACTAGATGATACATTTTAAGTCATTAGAAGCAGAATTCCTTCGAGAGGCAAAAAATGTCTCTTTCTCTTGGCATAAGCTTGTCCCACTCTGCAGGGCACAAATTATTTTGCTTCTGTGTTTTGATTGGCCATCAGGAGGTAAACACAGGCTTCATTGGCAAACCCAGTCCCTCAGGCATGGGACTTTGAAGGAACTGCATGGCTTGCAGTGATGTGTTGCACGTTTCATAGCAGGAAATACGCATTTTCTTTCATGTGCAATTTCACACTCTCGCACGAGGGGGCTGGAACTTGGAGCTCTTATTTCAGCTGGTGCAGAGAATGCAAGCTCTAATCCAGCAACAAGGAAGTCCTTTTCTAATACAAACACCTCTTCTCTGCTGTTGTCTTCTTCACGACCAGTCAAGGATCAGAAACAGTGTACGAGAGTGAGACACACACACACACACACAAGCTTGAAGAAAGAAGGCTCTGGCACACAGAAGTAGCCACAGTTAAGAAGGATGGCTCAAACACGGCCAGTGGGTTCCCAGAACTTCTCATGATATCATCGCGATCTCGCACGGGACATGAAGGCAAGGATACGCCCGATGCCGTTCAGGCGGTCTTTCAGAGACATCATGGCGAGGAACGGGAGCTGGGCCCGGCTCTCAAGAGGGAGGACGGCCAGTATCCACCAGCACCAGGCAGGCCCGTTGGGGCTGGCCTGCAACGGAAAAGAACAGAATCAAGACTCCCGTCGACAACACGTGCATTATTTTCAACATGAATGTGGGCAGAGTCAGGGTGAATTATTTAGGCCGCACAACGTTAAGCTGTCTGTTAGTTAAATTTGTTTTAAGTTCACTTCCACAAGATTGGAGGTTTGAAAGGTTATGTTTTTGGACTACAGCTCCCAGAATGCTGGCACGGGGAGGGGGATACTGGGAAAGCAGCTTTCTCAAACTTTGCTGACTCTACGTGCAGATGATGCAACTGGCTGGCTGGCATTCTAGTTTTTAACGCTCCGTACCTGTGGGTCGGCGTCCTTAGCAGGCATGGGGCCAAAGTGGTTCAGGATACGGCTCTTGAGTGTTGACTTGAGAGAATCAAACCACATGCAGGCCTGATGGTATACAGAATCATGAAGGACAACCAAGCTGGCATAGTCTTCTCCTTGCACCTGGAATTTTGCAGGGAAAGAGAGAGAGAGAGAAAAATGGGGAGTTTTAGTCGCAGGGTTGAGATGCTAAGAAAAGAAGCCAGCCTCTTCAGGCTTCTTCAAAAGTAGACTGGATTCAAGAAGAAGACAACATGGCAATTCCTCTCCAGCTAACCTACTACACAGGGTTCTTGTGAGGATGGACCTGGACAGTCCTCAAACATGTTAACCTCAGCTTCTTGTAAGATACACTGTGATTAAAATAACACAGCTTGTACAGTAATGCCCAGGATGTCTTCCAATAAAACAGAGCGCCAACTGAATCAGACTTAAGGGGATAAGTTGATTTTGTGCCTTGCGCCAGATGTTCTGGAGGCCCAGGCTGCCTCCATGCGGAGCGCCAACTGAATCAGACCTAAGGGGATAAGTTGATCTTGTGCCAGATGTTCTGGAGGCCCAGGCTGCCTCCATGCAGAGTGAGTAGACCAAGCCACAGGTCTCCCGGGGTCCCAGTCAGCCTCCCTTGTCAAGCACCCCAAAAGGGCTGCCCCAGCAGCAGGCAGGCTTTGAGAAATCGGCACGGAACAGGCTGCAATAGGCAGGGTATTCCTGCACCTCTGTAATCAAATTTGAATACTGCAACCATGCAACAGCCAATCTAACCCCATAATTGGAAATATTACTAGAAATAAAAGAGGAGGCAGGGAGCGAGATCTTTCCATGTTCAAAATGCTGCTGATACGATGATGTGAAGCAGGCCAGCAGCGTCCCCTAACACTATACTCCAGGAGCTTAAAAAAAAGTGAGTTTGGCTTGTATCAATTGGCTGAGTTTGACGTGACGTTCAATCCAGAGATCTTCCAACCCCTAACTAGAACTTAACTGGCTCGTTGTTTATTCATTAAGGAGCCAATAAAGCCGGTGGATTCGTCTGATGCATTTCTAAGGAGGGTTGGACCGTCCGTCCGTCCGTCCGCCCCTCCCCGGGGACCTCCCCGTCGATACGCACCGGCTGATCTTCTATGTACTCGATCTCCCACTCCCTCCCTGGGGACCTCCCCGTCGAAACGCACCGGCTGATCTTCTATGTACTCGATATCCGCCGTGTTGTACCCGTCACGCTGGCCGTGCCGCAACACTTTGAATCGCCTCTTGCCGATACTGTCCACCACCGACCGGCCGTCGGCAAAGAACTCCACGTTTCTTATCTCTAGGATGCAGCCGTAATCCGCGAACCTGAGAGCCGGAATAAGAAAAGGAAGGAGAGAGAGGGGTTTACTCTTTATCTGGCAGCTGCCTGCACAGAGTCTGGTCCATGACCGAGTGGGTCTTCCTTAACCACGCCACTTGATGCTCCTTATAAACACGGATGGTGTTTCCTTATAGGGCAGGTACTAATGACACAGTCACTTTTTCAAAACAGTAGAAAGCCAAAGCTATTCCAGCTATTTCTGATTGGGGTTAACGTCCTCTGCTTCCTAATCAAGCACAGTAATGACCTGCAAAGCTTGGCATGTAGATGCTGATTCATTCCAGCCTACATCTTCAGGTGGCAATTTTCTGGTGCTTAACCGGGCTGGTGTTTAAAACTTTCTAAGCCATTTTCTGGTGCTTAAACTTGGCCCAGTCTATCTGCTCAGTCTATCGCCCTGCTCTACTCTTGCAGACTCAAGGCCATGGTTTCTTTTAAGGACTTAGTCCATCTCATATTGGGTCCTCCTCTTTTCCTGCTGCTCTCCATCTTTCCCAGCATTATTGTCTTTTCCAGAGAACCTTGTCTTCTTACAATGTGCCCAAAGTAGGACAGCCTCAGTTTCAACATTTTTTGCCTCTAGTTCATACAGGAGTGTGTATCGCATTTTTGCTCAAATGATGCCAGGCAAAGGATCTGCTTTTTTGGAATACGTTTTTTTGTTTGTTAAATGTAAATGATGCCACTAAGAATGGCACAAAACCTCCAGGGTGCTTTAGTAGTCCAAAAAGAGTAATTCCTCTGACTTCTGTTACATTTCTTTCTCAAGGATAAGTACAGAATTAATAAAATAATTACAAAAATTAAGCATAAGTTGCATTTCAGTGGTCATGCTGACTAGGAGGATTCTGGGCATCGTAGTCCACAAGAGTAACTCTTTGAACTCTGGATTCAGCTTCCTGCTCCTCTCCTTCAAAAAGGATCTCTTTTTGTAAAAGGCATTTTCCAGATTTGCATTCATCAAGATTTGCCAGCTTTATTTTTTAAGATAAGATGATGACATTATTTTATAATAATACGGTATCTTTCATAAGTGCAGAAGTTCATAGTTTCCTCTTAACACCAGCTGCTAACCAAAGATGTTCACATAATTGTAATAACTCCTCCAGTGCTGTTTCTCAGCATATGATGTTTTCCTTTTGGAACGTCAACGTAGAAAGTGGGATCTTATTTCTGATGAAAAGATTCAGCTTGGATCTTGTTTCCAAGGGATTTCAGGGAGAGACTAGATCACTGGATTAACTACCTCCCCATCTCTCCAAAGAGCAGCACCCTTTCCAAACTGGACGTGTTATGACCAGAAGAGGACAGCCATCTAAGCCACCCCAGAGCAGTGGGGTGAATGCCCAGCTCAGCTTACTCACCCTCGGACAGGGTCCCCGATGCACATGCCGAACTGCTTGGTGCCAGTCTCCATGCATCTCCGGATCATCAGTCGGTAACAGGGTTCAAAGATGTGCAGTGGGCAGGGGACCGTGGGGTAAGCCATTGTGCAGACAAATATGGGTACATTCTTATTCAAACTGAAAGAGAAAGCGCTCGTCACGTTCTGCCCCGCACCACACTTGCCGACAATGCAAAAGCACCAGAGAGAGGCAGGGGAGAGGGATATATATATTTAAGCCACAGACTGCAAAAGAGAATCTTTACTACTTGCTGAAGTCTTTTTCCCCCCCTAATTCACCAAAAGAGCTACCCCAAACTGCTGTTCATATTAAACTGGTCTGACTTGGGAAACAACCTTCCAAAGGTTAAAAACTATAGTATTTTGTATGTTAAATGTGGGATGCATGAAATGCGTTGCTCCAGATCGGGGTGGAATGCAAGTCCCTGCATTTATCGTCGGTAACTATGGTGGCAAGAATGGCTAGGAGTTGCAGCTGTACCCAACTAAATAGTGGACTGGGAGCTACAGCCCCAATACAGGACTGTTCCAGCCCTACCTCTTTGGGGTTACAAGCAGGGCCTTACTTGGGGCCACCACCTGCTGGCTGAGAGTCCCAATTGCATCAAAACTGGGACCTTTTGCAGGCTGAGCATGTGCTCTACTGAGATATGGCAGAGCTCAGAAAAGTATGTCCTGTCACTCTACTACTTTTTAGCCATCTTACCGGGAAGATTCTGGAAGCAATGGGTCAAAATTAGTAACTTTTTCAAGCTTTGAAAAACAGGGGATGTTCTGCTTTTCAAAGTCCTGAGTCCCAAGCCCCACATTTGAGTCCTTATTAAAAACAAGCTTTTTTCCCCAGAAAAAAAAGGGAGGGGTGGGTGGGTTCCAAATTGCAAATCAAGTTCCACTCATTGGGGGGGCGGGAACCCAAATCAAGTCCTAGATGATTTGACAATGGGTCCCAAGACTCAAATCCCTATCCCTGTTGAGCAGGTATAGTACCTGCCTTACTCACTGGTAAATTTTATGCCTGGAAAGGCTCTACTGGGGTGCAGTTTTGGCTAGATGAATGTTCTCCAACTGGGGATGATGGGAATGTTAGTCACCATCTCTAGAGGGTGCTGGGTTGGAAGAATGATGGGCTGCAGAAATGATACACAGGCGAAATTATTCCCTGCGGATATATGCTGCAACAACTGTAACTGTGGCATACTTGGAAAGTTCAGCCATCTCCTCTTCGTAAAGCTTTCTCCGTTCCGTGAGCTCCTCCGGAAGATACTTTGCAATCAACTCCTCCAGGAGAACAGTCTTACAGTGTTTCCTCATTGCCAAACACTGCAGGGGGGAAAAAGGATTCTTGTCAGGCACATCCTAAAAATTGCCATGATTCTACTTTTGACATTACCTTGACCTACAAAGTCCAGATTTCATTGTTTTCATTACTGTTCGGTGATGGACATTGCAGGCTGTTCATTTAAAAGGCAAATACAAGTTTCTAGACCTCATGACAATGAAGGAACACAAGACCCTTGCAGGAACAGGAATGGACTATCAATTTAGATCAATAAGGATTCATATCTACATATAGTTCTTTTGTTTTCTTTTCACCATGGATGCTACCTTCAGTACCATCAATCTAGTTGCACATAAGGCTGTTCAGATGTTACCAGCCACGGCTCATAAAAACAGGCATAGTTCTTGATCCCCTCTCAACGTCTCATTACAGCAGGCAGAAAGCTGGAATGGGGGACCCTACAAGCCTCCATCTAAATGCAAGAAAAAATCCTTGTCCTGTACAATTTGCATCCTTGATCCCATGAGGAAGCCAAGGTGGGTTTGGCCAAACATAAGACACTTTCCCCCTTCAGACCTTCTGCCCCAACATGAAAAGATGGGTGTGTGTGTGTGTAGGTGGTGGAACAGGAGTACGTTCCCCCTTCAGATTTTCTGGCCCAACAAGAAAAGATGGGTGTGTGTGTGTGTGTGTAGGTGGTGGAACAGGACAGCTGGAACAGATCTTTTGGGTGCTGACCTCGAGTATAAAAGATCCAGATTCCAGCCATAAAATTTCTGGGGTGATGACCTCGGGCTAATCACACAGTCAGCCTGGTCTACCTCACAGGGCTCTTATCAGGATAGAAATGGAGAACAGAGCCATGTTCCCTCTGCTGGCAGGGGAAGGCTGGGAATTGCGGTCCAGAAATAAGTTTCCTAAGCTCTGATTCTACCGGGCATGGTAAAATAAGGAATCTCAGGGCCCAAATTGGCTCCAGCATGCGGGTGTCGGAAAAACAAAGGAACAGTAAGACGACACAGACTAGAGTGGGTTTACCTCTGAAAGCTCCTCTTTACAGAGGGGGCATTTGGGGTTGTGATCCAGGCACCTTTCCAGACATTTCAGGCAGAAAGTGTGTCCGCAAGGGGTGGTGACCGGTTCATAGAAGAGTCTGGAGTGGAAAGGAGAAGAAGAAAAAAAGAGAGGACATTTCTTTCCATCAGGAATCATGGAAGACCGGGAAATTCACAAGCAACCCACAGTCTCCTTTACCCATGTGGTGAGAACTGGGTTCGAAAGACACCTCCCCCCCCAAAAAAAATTACAATGTTAGGCCTTCTTGTAAAGGCTACATAAAGATCCAGACTCAGAAGTGAGTTTGCTATTAGCATATATAGAATTATTTGCATCGGGTTGCGCCACAGATATCCTCTGAGGGCATCTGGGTTTGCTTCACTCCCTCCCCGGATGTAGGTCAAGTACACTTATTATTTGGGCAAGCAAACTAGGTTAATAGCAGCTTAAGTGAATTAGAAACGAGATCACTGGGTTACCAGTTCAAGGTAACCCGGCCGGCAGGTTTCCTTGCATTCCATAATCCGTAATTATGATAAGGATCAAGACAACACAAGTTAGACTGCAAGAGTTTGGCTGTTGCCAAAGCCTTGCACGGGTTCCCAGGAAAAGAAGCTCCCATCTTCCTGGGGAAAACCGAACACGCTGCTTATATGCCAGGTTTGGGGAAACGATGGGCATAGCCCCATCATATCTCACCATTGTCTGTATTATCTGTGGCTTCTGGGAGACGACATTCAAACCATCTAGTGGGCCAAATTACCCCACCCTGTTCTAGATTATCTCATCCACATACTTCCCTCTCTCTTCCCCACTTTCTGTCCACATTAAGAATCTTGTTCAAGCCACATCTGAGCATGGTTAGACCTAACCAGATTTCCATCTTAACAAAGCTCCTATTTATTTTGAGGAGGCTATGGAGGCCCTAATCCTCTCCCCTGCCCCAGCTGCCATGTTGGAATGAGAAGAGTTGCAGTCCAAGAAAGTAGCATCCTTAAGTTCTGGACTTAACATCAAGAATGTTGGTTTAAGAACCTGGTAAAGATGGAACGTTGGTTAGCACTGACCACGATTAGGAGAGAAACAGCCTTAAATATAGTGAAGGCAATTGGGCATTGAGAGAGGGAAAATGAAGGGGATTTGCCCTCAAGAGCTGAGCAAAGGAGAGTTCATCAGTCAGTCATCTTAATTACCATCTTCTCTTTGTCCTGGGCCCACCCACAGGAAGAGACTCTTGTCCAGCAGGCCGAGGCAAAGAGGCAGACCCGAAACATGCAAAATCAGGAAGCTGGACAGGGGACACATTGTGTTTGTCTTCAGTGTGGAAGGGATTGTCACTCTCGAATCTGCTTCCTCAGCCACACTAGATGCTGTTCCAAGTCCTCCATACAGAGCACGATACCATAGTCTCTCAAGACTGAAGGATGCGTAATCTAACCCACAGGAAAGTCACAGATACCTCATGCACAAAGAGCACTCCAGTTCAGATGGATCCACCGCTTCAAAAAGAATGCCGTTCCCAGCGCCGGATCCTTTCCCATCAGCGTTATCTGTTACGAAGTAGGGACAGAGGGAACACAGTGCACTTCTGAGGACCATTCATAGAATCAAACGATAGAAACCCCCAGACTTTCAGTTAAAGGACAAGACCTTACTCTCCCTTTAAGGATGTAAGACCTTCAAAGCCCCACGGCTTACAATCCGATTGGTAAATGAAGCCTGTCTTCACCACCTGAAGACTAGTCACCGAATGAAGGCAAGGTCATTACAATGTGAAGAGGTGAGGAAAGCCAACCGAAGCCGAAATTTAAGAGAGTTCCACTTCATGGGCTCACCCGTCTTATCACACTGAATTTTTCAGTCCTGCGAAATCTGAACTCAGAGCACCTGTCACTGACCCAATAAGCAGTCACTGAATCATGCATTAATAATCAATTCCTCACAAAAGTCTGTGCAGACTGAGCGTTTGATCACGAAGTGTTTGGCGCTTCAAAGCCCTGCCTCCTCTCAATAAGCAGTCACTGAATCATGTATTAATAATCAATTCCTAACAAAAGTCTCTTAGTAAGAGTTAAAATGCAGCAGTAAGTGGCAACTAGAGTAGGCCCATTCAGACAATGAGCATCTGATTAATTTACTCCTCTGAAAATTCTGTTGATTTTGGCTTGCTCCAGTTGAAATTTACTGCTGGATTTCAGTCGTTTTCTCGCAAAAATCCGTATGATGCACTGCACCTCCACAGAGTTCGACTCGGCCACCTCACAGTGTCACGAGGTTTGCAAAACCATGTCAGTGGAAGGTGGAACTCCTGTCAGGTTCTGTCAGGCCAGTAAGCTCTTGAATAGGGCCCCAGAATAGGCTACGTGTCTGTGCAGACCGAGCTTCGCTAAGTACAGAGGAACTGTGGCACAAAGTAACAACCACCAGACCGGCGGTTTGTGCCGATTCATTTATCAGCCAAACAAGTGTTTGGCGCTTCAAAGCCCCGCCTCCTCCAGCAGCTGCCCACTTAGAGGCAGTGCCCAGAGGAGGCGGGGCAGGGAAGCCAGGCTGCTGCCTCTGATAGGGCACCCGCAAGAGGAGGTGGAGCTCTGAAGCGCCAAACACCTGTTTGGCTGATAAACGCACTGATATAAACGACATATCTCAGAGTGAAATCTCATATCGTCAAGGTACATTTCTGTCTAATTTTTCCATTTTGGTAAAATGGAATCCTATCTACGAGTCCAAAATTTCAGTATTATAAAGAATTAAATTAAAATTTAGTTAGGATTTTTAAAAAAAAATCAGAGAAAGCAGCCATTTAGTCAAGAGAACATTCAACCCTAAAAACAATCTATATAGTATGTAGAAGACCCTTGGAAATGTGTTTGTAGTTTTTCACTTTTCATGAATTTAACAAGGTAGACCTATTTGAGAAGGCAGGTGGATTTGGCCCCTAATGCAGGATTAAAAGCCGCTTACCCCTTTTCACAATTTTGCTTGGTGGGTCTGTGTTCGGCATCCCTTCTGAGCAGTGCTTTCTCTTCAGAAGTCTGCATTTCTCAGAAATGTGGAGGTCAGACTCTACTTCTGAGGAGGCACCCCTGTTCTCATCCAAGCTCCCTTTCCTGCACTCTGTCACCAAGGTGGATTTTGCTAGATTTTCACACTCCCTCATTTTCTGATCTTCACGGACAGAAGAGTTTTTATCTTGGTCCATGTTTTCCTGAGTAAAAAAAGAAAGGAGAAATCTTGATCTCTACACAAAGAATGTAATTCATAAGAACGTCACAAGCTCACGTATACATAGCAAAAGAGCACACAGAAGCCCAGAAACAAACATGCATGGAATATGGAGGCAGTTGAGAATGAGGTATGTCACCTGGAATTTATTTTTGCCCAAGTTTCATTGACACATACATGGTGGGAAATTGGTTCAAATGTTCCATCACATGGGGGCAAGGGCTGGCCTCACCCATAAGCATCCGTTCAGACAATCCATCTTGCACCGCCTGAGTAACCTGCTGCCTTGATTATTACCACTTTTGATTGTTGTGGTGGTATATTGCTGCAATTCAGTAACACACCATTAAATGTGGTGTTTATCTCAACGGACCTTAATGCAAGCCTTTCTTATGGCAATTTAATGAGGAAACCTTTAACACCCATCCTCTTCCCCAGGGTTTTTCTTCCTTAAGTTATACTTGTTTATTTCGAAAGGATTAAGCCTTTAGTTATTTAAAAAGATTAAGGCTTAATTGTGATTTAAAGAGCCTATTGACTATTTAAATAAACAGGAAATCTTTTCATTTCTTCCTCAAAGGCTCCTAAATCAGTTGCCACTGTTTCTAAAATAGGAAGGAAGTGATTGATTTAAATTACTCTATAATTAAACTGATTCCACAATGAATCTAGCGCAATCAGAAATGAACTGCAATTTATCTTTAATCAACTCTCGGAAAATGTTTGCAAAAGTTAGTTTTTGGACCACAAATTGCAGAATCCTCCAGCCATCAAAGCCATCAGCTTCTGGGACGTGTTGACCAACAGAATTAACAGCTGGAATCCTGTTGCTTAGCATTCCGTGTTGCACTAGAGTAGTCCCACTGAATCGGTGGAAGATTTGGTGAACCAACTCTTCTGCGAGGGCAGTTGATTCAATGGGCGTCCTCTAGTTGTGATTTGCTTTGTTAAGCCACAGGGTTTCAGCCCATAATACCAACGTTCCTTCCAATTTTCAGCTCCTGGGAGCGAGGATTCACCTGAAACCGGAACTAAATGGGTTCAGCCCATAATACCAACGTTCCCTCCAATTTTCAGCTCCGCTGCCTGGGAGTGAGGATTCACCTGAAACCGGAACTAAATGGGTGTCACCACCAGCTGCCGGGCCCCAGCTTTGATGGAGCTCTGAATGCACACAGCTTGGAGGGAACATTGAATAATATCTTTTTGGTGCTAAGTAGCACGGACAATACTGGATATCTGTGGGGTGCAGAGTCTTCTAGTCTTTGGTCCAGGTGACACAAGAAGGTTTCATACCAGGCATAGGAATGAACAAACGGGTAAACCCAACATCCACAGCCATTCCTTTGCAGTGAAGGGAGGAGGATACCATTAGCCCAGCACCACCACGGCACTTGGTCTTTCTTTCAGTTGTTACACAGCAGCCCTTGCAAATGGAGGATAAGGAAACAAAGCCATTCTATCTGCTCAGCTTCTCCCTTCCAGCAGTTTCTGTTCCAGCTGATGACCAATAACATCCAGCTATATTACAGCCATTAAGCCCTCATATCCATATGGCCGCTGGCATTGAGAAGCAGTGCCTACTAACTATTATAGTTCCTTTCTTCCCACCTCAGCACTTCTTTATGTTCTGCCCAAGAGGCAGGGGGTAATTGGTTTTTTATTGATCTATACAAGTCACTTGAGCAACTTTCTAGCCGAAACATGGGATAAGAACACTTTGAATGAATGAATGAATCAATGAAGAAGTAAAGGAACTTTCTAGCCGAAACACGGGATAAGAATGCTATGAATGAATGAATCAATGAAGAAGTAAAGAATCTGTTACACCATCTGGAGATGAAAGATTCGGACAACGCCTGTTCTGAAATCTCCCATGAAGCCTGGCTGGACGTCACAATAAGCTAAGATTCCACAGGAATCATAGCTTATCATGGGATGAATCCAAAGGCTGGCTCCCAACACCTTATGGCTTTTGCTTGCAAGGCAAATGGCTGAACAAACCATGAATTTCAGCTGGTTTGGCATGATGTGAAAACCTGGCAGTTATATGTGCTCTGGCTTCTTTCTCACTCATAGAATAGTTGAGCTGGAAGAGACATATAAGGCTATCAAGTACAACGTCTCCTCAACACAGGAACCCATATCACAGCAGATCAGACATGTGTGTTTAGTCGTTTAGTCGTGTCCGACTCTTCGTGACCCCATGGACCAGAGCACGCCAGGCCCTCCTGTCTTCCACTGCCTCCCGGAGTTGTGTCAGGTTCATGTTGGTTGCTTCGCAGACACTGTCCAGCCATCTCATCCTCGGTCGTCCCCTTCTCCTCTTGCCATCACACCTTCCTAACATCAAGGTTTTTTCCAAGGACTCTTTTCTTCTCATGAGATGGCCAAAGTACTGGAGCCTCAGCTTCAGGATCTGTCCTTCAAGTGAGCATTCAGGGTTGATTTCCTTTAGAACTGATAGGTTTGTTCTCCTTGCAGTCCAGGGGATTCTCAAGAGCCTCCTCCAGCACCACAATTCAAAGACAGATCAGACATATCTTTGTCTAATTTTCTCTTGAATGCCTCCAGTGTTGGCGCGCTCATCACCCCCTGAGGTAATAGATTCCCTTCTTGTACTGCTCTAACAGTAAGAAAGTCTTCCTGATATTCAGCCTCAATCTGACTTCCTCTAACTTGAGCCCATTATGATGTGTCCTGCACCCTGAGATGATTGAGAACAGACCCTGCCCATTCTCTGTGTGACTCCCTTTCAAGTATTTTAAAAGTGATGTCATATACTTGGAACGGATAATCTATGTCATCTGTTTACGTTAGGATCACGGCTGAGAATACGCAGTATGATAACAAAGATAGACTCTTGTGCCAAAGACACTTCCCCTTTGTCCACTGACAATTCTCAATAAGTATCTAAAGCAGAACTTGGAGAAGTTACTTTTTAGAACTACACCTCTCAGGATCACCCATCTTCTCCTTGTCAGCCTCAGTTTTGTTAAAAAAACAATGCAACCCCCCCCCCAACAAGAACAAAGAAAATAAGCAAGGTGCATGCAAACAGATTTTGCTTATCAGTGGCCATGCAGGGAGTTGCTTCCTGTAGGATTCTGGGAGCTATTGTCTGAAAAGGTAACTTTGCTAAGATCTGGCTTAGATAAGCCATCCTGCACATCCCGGCCACAGACACATTTGCGTTCATAGGGAAGCCCTGAAAAATTGGTAAACAAGAGCAAAGAATAAGCAAGATGTTCCGGTGGCCATGCTGTCTTCTGAAGTCCGGGATTTGCAGGAAAAGTTAGATTTCCCAGCTCTTTCGACAGACCAAAGTCCTGGTTGTACTCATCCACCAGCTGTCCTTAGATGTGACCTTATCTCCTATCCCTCCCAATAACAAAGGCTGAAAAACTTCGAACCACCAACAAGCATTACCTTGAGCAAACTCGGCAGGCTGTAGCCGGTGCCTCCAGATCCCACTGAATTAAAAAAGTTCCCTTTTAATCTAGAGTGATGGGACAACCCCTGCAAGATGTCAGGCAACATTTCCTGAGCGTTCCCGGGATACGCAAAAAGATTCGGGGAGTTGTACTTCAGCCAATAGCAACTCCAGGTCTTTTTCGAGCTCTAGTGCTGGGAGGCTGGAAGGCAGCATCATACAGAGAAGCCCAGGACGCATTTTGGGGGTCTTTGCGCATTCCAAAATGAAGGCAGGACACCCACATTGAATCGGGGCTCTCTGAAGTGCCAAATTTTGCTCTGGCCCTTTGAAGGTTTAAAAAGGCAGAACATCAGCTTTTGTTCCACACAGCTGGGCAGTTTGTGCCGGATAGATTCATGATAGGACAGGAGTGGAGCAGAATAAATTTTGGGGCTCCTGCCAAGGGGAGGAGAGGAAGAACGAAGGAAACTGGTGGGAACAACCTCTGCACATTAGAGGCTGAGCAGTAGTGGATGACACTGCAAAATACCTGGTATGCACTGCTGGAGTTACACAGAATTCACCATCACAGATTGCACATCTTACCCTTTCTCCAAGGACCACAAGGCAGAGCGCATGCATTTATTCTACTTTATCCTCACATGCAACCCGCAGGGTAGATTACCAGGGGCAATAGCATGGAGCTCCCACCAGCCATACAGTGGCTGTCATAGCCGAGCAGTTATTTGAAACCAATGTATTTTTGACCAACGGAATACTCCAGCTTTCCATGCCAGGCAACCTCCAGGTATGCTTGACCACATACCCCATCATCCCCAATCAGGACACCACCGCCTGGGGGTGATGGGGTTCAAAGTCCAAAGTGTCCAAAAATTGTGGGTGGCACAGGGGCCAGGGTACACTAAAAGTCTGCGCCTCCGGTCTCAACGAAAACTCCCCGGAGACAAGTTCCAGGCTGGCTCCTCTGTGCCAGGATACGATCCTTGCTGTGTACTTTGACATTCCAAAACGGGAACGTCATCAATGGAGAGTGAGCTCAGGCAATCTGTTTCCAAGTTACAAACACCACTGGTTAGCTGCCAGTGGCCAGAGGGTGCCGAATGCTTCTGTAAGCTATTAACTGCAAATCTGCATT